TCTGCTTTGAACATTTCATTTTTAGTTTTCTGATGTTTTATGAAGGGTGGTACCTAGTGAGGAAGCAATGGTAAACAAAATGTTTTCACAAAAATATTAAGCAGCAGAAATGTTTTCAACATTAGTAAATGTTTCTTAAGCAGCAAATCTGCATATTAGAATGATTTCTGAAGGATTATGTGACACTGAAGACTGAAAATCCAATAAGGGAAAATTTTGGATTAATCAGCCAATTATTGTAAAATCAAAATACTCAATTTGTTACTATTTTTAGTCTTTTTAAATCCACTGTATGCTTGTGACGAGGGTCGATAGAGGCTACAAGGTTAGGATATCGTATAGAATAACCAGGAATAAAATTCAAATGGTAAAATCACATTAGCCCAACATACATTGGGCACTTTTTGTTTTGATTTTGTTTGCAGCTGTTCACAAACAGAAAAAGCAATCAACATATGTACACTCAGTTATTTTCTAAAGAAATAACACTGCAAAGAAACTATCATCAAAACGAATATTGGCAGTAATTCATCAACAGTAGATCAGCAGTATTCGCTCATCATAAATGAATAGTAATCCGTTATTAAAACGGACCTTCTTTCTTTTCTCTAGGAACCTGGTCAAAGTCAACATGAGCAACTCAACAGTAAATAATGGTTTTATGAATAAATTGTTTTAATAATATCCATGTTTCATGCGTCTTTTTTCAATATACTGTGTTATTAGAGGTTCATTCACTATGAAATTATTGTCTCTTTTTTTGATATCTGTGGTTCAAACATAAAACTAAGTATTTGTGCAGAGGAAAGGTCAGGTGAATATGATTGTTTGAGGTTTAACTATGCTTGCACCAGATCTGACTAGCTATAACAATGTCACTGATAGTAAGCAAAAAGTCCTACAAGGCATATATCCTGAATAAGTCGCCTGAGCAAGTAAGTTGCATATCTGCCATCATAATAGCCTGAACTTTGACATAAATATATAAGGACAAATAATAAAAGCCTAAAATTTCCTGGCAATCTACGAATCTGACAGCTCTGTATGTGAATTATTGTAAAGGGACTCTGTAATGTTAGCCCTGCTTCCCATTTTTATTTACCATATGAAGTTGTAGGTGATGTGGCATGTGTTATAATCTTGTTAATATGTTGTCACTTCAATAAAAAAAAAATCATAAAAATATTATCCATTTGTGTTTGCATTCACTTTTGGAAAAAGTGTAGTGCGGCTAAAACACCAACATTCTGTCTATCTTTATTTTCCTGTGAGTCATAGAAATTCAACCTGTGTCATCCACAGTTCAGCAACTGTTTTTTCTGTTGCCCTAAATCCTGTTTCTAATGGTGACATCTTTGAGTAAGCATGAGGACAGTTCTGCTGTTTAAATCTACTGTTTTCCTGCTGTTGTTCTCACTTCCAATAGAATAGTTTATAGTTCTGATTACATCTCATGTGCATGTTGTTTGTTTTTTTTGTTTTTTTTTTTGGCCTCTTTCAGGTGGAGGTTGATGGACAGAAATTCCAGGGCTCTGGATCAAATAAGAAATTAGCCAAAGCCAATGCAGCACTTGCAGCATTAGAACAGCTTTTTCCAGAAGGTTCTCCTGCAGACCCACTCAAAAAAAAGAAATTCCCTGCTATGGTAAAGGCAACATGTTATTCTGGATCTTCTCTTGGCCTCTTTCTGTCCTAATATTGTTTTGTGCTTTGGTCTGTTTAATATCGTTTTGTCCTTTGGTCTAAAACGTTTTTATTTCTTTAGGGCTATGGTATGGCTGGAGTGTCTTACAATGCAGGAAATCGAGGTGGAGGAAGAGGTAGAGGCAGAGGATTCAACACTGGCAAGTTTGCAGGTACACTAACATCATGAAAGGCATTAACCTCATCTTGTTTGACAGTTTAGCTCATTTAGCATCACTGTTTTGATTTCCATGGTTAGATTATCACCTGAATGATGAGGAAGTAGAAAAAAAAATGCTACTACATCATACACAACGTCCTCATTAGTACTGGGCAAAAATATTGTTTTGGATACTAAGGTTTAATACTTATTTTAAATACACGTACATGAAAAAAAAATTCACAGGAAAAAAATAAATAATATTTTTAAATATATTTTTAATATATTTCTATAGCAAAGTTTTTAAATGCTAAGATTTTACAATATTGTTTTACTGTATTTAATTAAATAAATGCATCCTTGGTGAGCATAAGAGACTTCTTTTAAACAAACAGATCAGAGACTTTTGAACAGGTGTGTGTATATATATATATATATATATATATATATATATGTTCAACTTATATATCCACTGCCTCCACTACTCCACTAGAGCTTATTTGCATAGGTAAATGTAGATTCCAAATGCATGTTACCTATTCCTGTAATGTGGATGTCGTCTTAACTTTTATTCTCTATCAATTTGTCTCTCCAGGCTCCACCACTACTGCTGGATTGACCCCAGCCCAGTCTGTTACCAACTCCAGCACAACTCTGAATCCCCAGGAGGACCCGTCTGCAACCATCAGCGCAGCCACATACCAAGCTGTACCACCACCAGTGACTGGCTATTATTATCAGTACACCCAATCCTATTCACAATTCAAAAAACCCCTCAATCAGGGCCAGAATCAGACTCAGACTCAAAATCAAATCCAGAGCAAAACAACAAATCAACAAGCTCCTCTTGTTGGACCAGACTACGGCTACGGATATCAAGGGCCTGGCATGGGTATGGGGGGACCACCTGATTTCAATTATGCAGGTGAGTTTGAATGCTTACATGCTGTGTAATAATATGCGTTTAACCCACAACTCTCTGAAACTCTTTTTTTGTTTTTTTTTCTTAATAGCATACAATGGACCACCTGGTACAGCAACATTCGGGCCACCTGGAACAACAAATCAGAGCTATAGCTTCACCCAGAGCGCCTACCCCAACCTGGGAGGCTACAGCAGTGGAGCCAATAGTACAGACTACACATACAGATAAACATAACACGTTTGGTCTCCCTGCTCAGTAATATGTACGGATGCTCATTCAAACAATTGAGAAGTAATTTCTGTAATTCTATAGCCTACAGTGTCCTCCTGAGTTGAAATATTTGCTCTAAACCTTTTGAGATTTTATACTGTTTTGTTCATTTTGCCATTGGAACTGCACCTGATTTTAGCATGGTTTTGATTCACCACTAGTTTCAGGAAATAATACATCAGGATGGAAGTTGTTTTCCGTCTGTGCCTAAATGGTTGGTGTGATTCAAATGGAAATTGTCACATAGTTCTATTTTTCCCCAAAAGATATATTTATGATCATCCTCCTGTTTTGCTTCAAATTTTTTAGCAGGTTTCTTTTTCTTTTCTTTTTTTTTTTGACTGAATGTGGACAATGAACGCAGACTTTGATGTTTACTTCCCTGAAACCATTTCAGCTGTTTCTTGTTTGGATTTTTAAGAGGTTTGATTTGCGTTATTCAGTTTAATCTTGGTATCGTCTTTTATGTAGAATGTAGCTTTTTGCTGTTAAATAGGCCAGTGCAGGAGGTTTTGTGTTCTCTGGGGTGGATGTTATATGTCATATCTTTGACCTGTGCAGGAATAAACAATTTTTTTTTTCTATTTTTAATTGCTTTCTTGTTGCTTTATTTGACAGAAATTGTGAAACAAGCTCATAGTTCCATGCATCATTTTACATGTTAAAATGCATATCATAGGCTTTTGAGAAATGTTTATTTGTGCATCTCTCAGTCATCATTGTATTGTACTGCATTATGTTTTGCACAAAAATAAAAACTACAGAGCTTTGATCATAAAACTAAGCATTTAAATATAATTTTACGAAGACATTATTGGGAGATACAGATTGACAACTGATATTGCATTTTGTGTAAGTAGTCTGCTATACTCATGGATTTACATTATAAGCTATCAGAATTTCATTTAATTTATGCACAAAATTGCTTTTTGCTTTTGGTTGATTAGATCCCTTTCTAACCAGCCATTCCAGTAATTAATAAAGGGACAGTTATTAATGCTATGGCATAAAATGACGTTCTAGAGAATTCTGTGCTTTCAAATTTGGGGAGAGCTCTGTTCTAGTCCAGCACAACAATGCTCCTGTGCACAAAGCAACATCCATGCAAAAATTATTTACTGAGTCTGGCGTGAAGTAATTTGACTGACCTGCACAAAACCTGAACCCCACTGAACACCTTTAGCATGAATTGTAACGCTGACACTGTCACCAAACATCTGTGCCAGATGCTCTCAGTTTTCTGAACTAGCATTTAGCCTCAACACTGACACGAAATAAAAGTCACAAACCTAATTTCTTAATGACTTAAATGTTAATACATCTATCATTTGATATGATTTAACAGCATTCTGTAGTTGTTTTACAGAAATCTAAAGAGAGGCAGAACAGAAGAGAAGGAAAAAGGTGGAACATTAGTCTTACTAGGTGTGTTTGAAACACATGCACTTGGTCACATGCATCTGTGATCATTGAGTCAGTAGGAACATGCTTCACATGCATGCTTAGGTCACATGTGCACACCCATCCCTATGTGGGACCTAATATATAGAGGATGAGAGGAAACAGAGCATCCAATGGAGGGATCACTCACACAAGGATACTTCAAGAACTAAGCCACTCATTCATTGTGAGTCTTTTTATCTGCTCTAGATTATCATAATGTCACAGTTTAATAACCACAACTCTGTTGCCTGTTTCTCAGTTATATTTTAATCAGGGGGATTTTATGATACGGTTCCCCTTTTTCAACTGAACTATCACTATCACTGGGAAATTGTATATGTATGTGTATGTGTATGCATGCAAAATAGCATACTAGCATACTACAGATATGACTGAAATAGTAAGAGTGGTATGCTAGTGTACTATTCAAAATTCAGCTGCAGTGTTTCTACCACCCCATTGGACAAGCTGGTTAATGGGGTAAAAGAAAACAGCTGTAACTGAAATCAAGGCATGGCTTATTGATGATCAGAATGATATAAAGATAGAGCCAATGCTGTAGATGGGTATGAGGTGTAGAGGGAGGGTTCTCAAAGAGCGAAAGCTGCTGGTATATGTGTTTTCAGTATTGTGAGATTGCTTGAATTTGATGCGTCAATATAGTTTCAGTTCTTTTTGGTTTTATGCTTGTGAGAAATGGGTGGTTAACTTTTTTTTTTTTATATATGGTGGTGTTACTGTCTTTTTGTACAGATGGCATCACCAATAATGATGGTGTTTTTAACTGCTTTCCCTGGGGTCCTCTGCTACCACTCCTCATTCATTGACCTGGAAGCTAAAGGAAGTGAGTTGGCATTGATTTATATTAGATGCTTAAGAACTTGTCAGTTGTGTTCTAAATCTCCGTATTATCTGTAATCTCTTGAGTGTTTATCTCTGCTCTTTTATTGCCTTCAGGGAACAAGTCATCTATCAGGTTCCTGGTTTTGGGGGACTGGGGTGGTCTGCCATATCCTCCTTACGTTACCCCTATAGAGAAGGCCACTGCACGCATGATGGCCAAAACTGCTTCTCAGATGGGCGCAAACTTCATTTTAGCACTTGGTGACAACTTCTACTATAAGGGCGTCAGTGACGTCAATGACCCTAGATTCCAGGTTTGGTTTCTGGAGTTTAGATCCCTTGAGTTTTGTAAATGCAGGATTTTTATTTTATTTATTTTTTGATCTTGTTTGTTAATGAGAGCCTGAATCCTCATGAAATGGGTCTACTGCTGAAATGTCAAATGCTAACTCTACAAAAGTGGTTGAGTATTGGTATGACCATTTCTAGTTGTGTGCTGGGTGTAAATAGTGCAAATTGGTGTAGAAGAGTTTAAGCTGTCTTGTCTAATATAGGGGTGCTCAGTCCTGCTCCTGGAGGGCCAGTATCCTGCAGAGTTTGGCTTCAACCAGCTCCAACATGCTTGCCTGGAAATGTCTAGTGAGTCTGAAGACCTTGATTAATCTGGTTCATGTGTATTTAAAGTTGGCACTAAATTCTGCAGGACAGTGGATCCCCAGGAACTGGTTTGGAAACTCCTAGTCTAATCTCTTCCACCTAATGTAGGCCATGGTCCTTTAATTCTCTTTGTAGGTCACGTTTGAAGATGTCTACACTCAGGATTCTCTTAATATTCCATGGTACGTCATTGCTGGCAATCACGACCATGCAGGAAACGTCCTTGCTCAAATTGAGTACAGCCAGAAGTCAAAGAGATGGTACGTGAGCCAATGTGTCTAGGCCTCCATGTCTAATTGAGTTTGGTTTCCTGGCTCTTAAGCTGGTTTGCAATTTAATTCTATTGTCAGTGCAGCTGTGCCCGGTGTGTAGACTTGGCAGATGCCGTGTGTTTGTTTGTTTGTTTGTTTGTTTGTTTTTTTTTTAAACGTTCTTTCCATCTTCAAGGAACTTCCCTTACTACTATTATGAGCTGAACTTCTGCATTCCTCGAACGGACAGCACACTGACCATAATCATGCTGGACACGGTGTTGCTGTGTGGAAACTCCGATGACTTCCTTGACCAGCAGCCCCGAGCTCCCCGAAGTGGCATTCAGGCCAACAGACAGCTGCTGTGGCTTCAGGAACGTTTGGCAAAGTCTAAGGCTGATTATCTCCTGGTGGCTGGCCATTATCCGGTATGGTCCATATCAGAGCATGGGCCAACTGACTGTCTGCTTAAGAAATTGAGACCACTGCTTAAGAAGTACAAGGCTACTGCTTACCTGTGTGGCCATGATCACAATCTACAAGTAGGTCATAAAGCGTTTTCATAAGGTTCAGTTTGGGTCAACTTTGTATTTGACTTGTTTTTGTGTCTCCCCTCCTTGCCGTTTTCAGTACATCAAGGAGTCTGGTATCGGTTATGTGGTTAGTGGAGCTGGTAACTTTATGGATCCTGATGTGCGGCACCGAAACCAGGTTCCTCGAAGCTACCTCAAGTTCTTCAATGGTGACGCTGGCACCTTGGGTGGCTTTGCCCATGTGGAGGTTAACAAGAGAGAGATGACTGTTACTTTTATCCAGGCTAGAGGAACCTCTCTTTACAGGGCTGTTCTTAAAAAGCGTGATCTTTCCAGAGTGGATGAGTATGTTTGAGGTTCTTATCCAGTTTTAATCTTTTAGAATTATGCTATGAATTAATGTGCTCAAGATTAGAAAAATGCACTCTTTGAACAAAGATTTTATAGATTAGTCTTTTAAATGGTTTATCCAATAACTGTTTTGTATGTCTTGAGAACCTGTAAGTGTTTTAAAGTGATTTATTAAATAACTCCTTTAAACTATTTGAGCCTGCTTCTCCGTAGCTCGCAATTGGAGTTTTTCTGCTTGTCACCATTGACTGCTGTGGCTCTACGTTGTCAACCCTAATTTGGTTTTAATCTTTTTGTGCAACTGTCTCCTTGTGGCCATCATGAGTAGTGCTTTGTTAAACTATGCCTTTTTCTCAGCCATAGTGCCTCTTGTTAATTAATTGATGCCTTCTGATATTACCCTTTCAGAAACTGATAAAAGGGTTAGTTCACCCAAAAATGAAAATTCTGTCATTACTCACCCTCATGTTGTTCCAACCCCATTTAAGACTTTTGTTCATATTCGGAACACAAATTAAAGGGGTCATATGATGCTGCTAAAAAGAACATTATTTGGTGTAATGAAGTGTTTAAGTTTCAAAAAACACATTATCTTCCACATATACCTCAAGTGTGTGACGGAAATGTTACGTCCCTTACCATATTGTGATGCCCTGTCTGGCCGGAGCATAACATAAAACCATGTCTGCATTTGTGATTGGAGAAATGACAAAGAACAAGTGCTACTCTACACTGCCCAGAAAGCTCTCGTTTGAATCGTCAGTGGCAAATACTTTAAATATTAAAAAAAAAAAATGTACTTTCAGTCTGAGTCAGAACAGCCGGCATTTTAGTCTACTCTACCAGGATCAGGAAACAGTCCTCCATAAAATGTGCTGCACACATCTGAATATTTGGGTTAAACTGTTCTGGAACGGTGTTGTAAATACAACTTAACCACTTATGTCTAGTCGTGTCCTCTTGTGGAAGGCCAAACAAAGTAGTTTTGCTTTCACAACGAAAAAGCGTCACACACCGTAGCCTTGAGTGAGCGGCGGCCGGAGGCCTAGAATATGCGGAGGCCGGCTTGAGTGAGCAGAGGAGATATTTTTGATGGAATCCGAGAGCTCTCTGACCCTCCATAGACAGCAAAGATATTACCACGATCAACGCACAGAAACGTAGCAAGGACATCGGTAAAATAGTCCATGTGACATCAGGGGTTCAACTGTAGTTTTATGAAGCTATGAGAATACTTTTTGTGCGCAAAGATAACAATTTATTCAGCAGTTCTTCTCCCCGAGTTACCGTCTTCTGCCATTTTGGAGAGTACCCCAGAACGTAATCAATGTTGTTTACATTCAGTAGACAGTGTGCGCATGCTGAACGTAAACAGCGCTCATTACGTTGATTACGTTCTGGGGTACTCTCCAAAATGGTGGAAGATGGTAACTGTTGTTGTTGTGTTTGTTGTTGATTGTGGTTGTTGTTGTTGTGTAATTAATGACAGAACTTTCATTTTCGGGTGAACTATCCCTTTAAGATGTTGTTTGAAACAAGTGATTGTTAACATTGGGCAACTAATACCGCAGTGGCCTATAATGGGGCATTTTGTGGAGTATAGGCTCTTTCATGCACAATCAAATAGCTTGCCACAAAACCTGATCATATTTCTCCCACAAAGTTGGGCAACTTCCAGCCCTAATTGACTTAATCTGTATTTGGAATGGATCTGAAACCATTGTTGATCTAATGTTCCTGCAGCATGAGCCTGAAAAAATCAGAGCTGGACAGATGTTGACCACATTAATGTTAGTCTGTAACAAATCCTCCTTCCTTTTATTAAAGGGGTCATATGACGTTGCTAAAAAGAACATTATTTTGTGTATTTGGTGTAATGTGTTTATGCGGTTCAAGGTTAAAAAAATACATTATTTTCCACATAATGTACATTATTGTTTCTCCTCTATGCCCCGCCTTTCTGAAACGCGTCGATTTTTTACAAAACTCATCGGTCTGAAAAAGCGAGATGTGCTCTGATTGGCCAGCTATCCAGTGCGTTGTGATTGGCCGAATTCCTCAAGCGTGTGAC